GGGGGGGGGGGCTCCTGGGTAAAAACCACTGACATAAACATCTCCAATTAGCTCCATTAAACTCAATTAACAATGCTGTTAGAAAGAAAGGCACTCAGGGCCTGCACACCACGCACATGCGATCGATTGAAATAAATTAAAGGAAAAGTCTAATGTCCTTAAAAGAGAAAATCCTATCATTTTCTTATAACTGCAATGTTCTTTAACAGAGTAAAACAAAACACAAACACCCAATCAGATATTTTCTGTCTAAATATTGTGAAATTCCTACATCTCTTTTAGATTGACAAGCGACGTAAGGGATTAATTCCAGTACAGCCTAAGCCCCCGCAGGGCTTCAAGGATTACCTCATGAATCGGTGCACCTACGTCCTGGCCGGAAACGCGCCGACTACGCCCAACATAACCATTCCGGCGAATCTTCCCGCGCAAATGAAAGACCTGTACAGTGAGCAGGAGAAGGAGCGGTACAGATTACGAATGCAGGTAAGACTTTTCGATCGCACTGATCGATTACTAACCGAATTTTTTTAAGCATGTGATAGAGAAAGAAAAATTAGTACTGTCCGTCGAACAAGAGATACTACGGGTACACGGTCGAGCGGCGCGCGCTTTGGCCAACCAGTCGCTTCCGTTCTCCGTGTGTACGATTTTAAGGGACGAAGAGGTGTATAACTTGATAACGCCCGAGCAGGAAGAGAAAGATCGTAACGCAAGGTCGAGGTATAATGGGCGTTTGTTTTTGAGCTGGTTGCAAGACGTCGACGATAAATGGGAAAAAATAAAGGAGCATATGCTTTTGAGGCATCACAACGAAGCGGAATCTCTGCATGCCGTTCAAAAGATGGATTGGGAGTGGAAGCTGAAAGAATTGAATCTGTGTGATGCGAAGACCACGCCATCTATTGACGAATTACATGTTCCTATGGTTCATGTCAGCGACGACTTTGATTTACTCCCCGCTTAGTTCTTAATATTTATAATTAATTTATTACTGTTGATTGTTAAATAATGTAGCTATGAATTTTACTTACTTTTGTTTTCCATTCCCTCCTGGATTAATTTAGACATCTACAATGAGTTACTGATTAATAGAATACTGCTGTGGCGGCCCGGTTTCACAAACCCTTAGAATTTAGTTATTTCATGGTCAGTTTTTCCAAAATAAATATTTTTTCGAATTAACCTACTGTATATTATTTTTATGCTTAAGTTTAAATGAGACGTACTGTATATTATTTTTATGCTTTTAAGTTTGGTTATTAATTTCAAAAAATATTTATTTTGGAAAAACTGACTACGCCACTGAACTGAAATATGAGGAGGGACCAAAAAAAGGACAAAAACTACATTGGGTGGCTATGTTTTATTTGTTAGTGTCCAGTGGTGCTACATATCATTTACCCAATAGCTATTCAGAATTCTTCATTTTCATACTTCTAAACTGTTCGTGTTTAGTGGAAAACTACAGTATACAAAGTAGTGCATGAAATTTTAATTCATTCAAATTTTCTTAGTCAAATTTATCTTCTGACTAGCTTCCGAAAATCTCTGAAATATGTTACTAAAGCCCATTTTCCACGCTAAAAGTTGATCTTTTTAAATAAAACTTGAAAGTGAAATAACTTTCCAAGTGACATGCTGCAATTGTATTTCACTTTAAAGTGAAATGATGCTAATACCAACCTAAAAAATAGATGAGATTGGCACCTTTCATAATTTGTTTATATTTTATTTCTTTCAGTGTAATTTTCCCCATAGAATGTTACCAGGAGGATGCTTTCCGTGCTATACTCTAATGAAAGATCGTGACAAAGTTAATTGGGGTTCTAGGTCTGTAAGCGGAAATTGTGTACGCCGTCCAGAAGGAGTAGAAGCAACTCTTACTGCTGATGGTCATACAGGTCACACATACCCCTAATGTCTAATGAGGTTTTTCTTCGTCCATCTGTTGAATAACATTCATAATTTAGTGTGAATGGCCGCCTTGTTTATACTGTCTTTCAGAAAATATTTGTTTCATGTAGAATGAGACGATTTGAGTAGGTCATGGGAGAGTTGATGTCAAAATCGGTAAATTGAAAACTTTCGAATCTGTGTTGAACTATGGCAATGTTATTTCAGTGCAGATGGAAATTAAGGTAGCATGGAGAAATTTTCTGCAAGCAATGATTTAAGGATTGTTTGTTTTTCCACGTCCCGAAGTATCTCATTGGCTTATTTTATTTCGTCGCTGGTTGGTTTGTTTGATCTCTGAACACGTACAACTTTCCTGGTGATAAGTGGTAGCTGTAAACCAGGCCTGAGATGGGGTAGACATATTAATGAGTCCAGAAAACGTATGTATAAAATTTAAGTTTTTACATGATTGAGGTTTTTTACAACAGACGTAACGTCGCGGAGGTAGGGCAACGGTAAAGAGTAATTCACCCCCCAAAATTCTCGACCCTCGTAAGGTTGAGGGGTGGGGGGGCGGTACCTTCTGCGACAAATACCAAAAAGAAGACCTGGAGAGCATACAATGTGGCTAAACACTACAAAAGGCGAGCTTGTCTTCAAGAAAAGCACCCAATATTCGTGTAAAAGGTGACAACGGAACAAACGTTCCAAGTAGTAGATTACTGACGTTTAAGAATTAAGGCAAAAGCTGCAATTGAAGAAGACAGGGAAGAAGAGATAAGGTAGGTATTGCTATGTGTCCCACGTTGGGAGTCAAATTTCAATGGCAGACTGTCACTAAATCACCCACAAGCACCTGTCCAACTAGCTCAATTAAGGTACTAACTATTTCAAAGATAATTTTTCTAAAGCAACCTTCACGGCTAAAATCTCGATATTGTCGCAAATTTTATTAATTTGAAAAAATTCAGCAGTCTTAAAACCGCCTCCAAAATTCAATGAATTTAAAAAAACCAATTCTTAATTAACACCTGATGTAATTCCGGGAACAGAATAAAAAAATTTAACATGAAAACTCTTATCTAGGTCGTACCTTGGGCTCGTTCAATCATGTATACAATGAAACAACAAACATGTACCACACAAATAAGCGATCGGTAGACAATTAAATTAAATCTTAATTACTTTAGGCGAGGGAAATAAGGACAAACGTTCTACATTTTTGCAAACAGTTTGTATCGAAATGCGGTTTTCGGCATAGTGTTCAGAAAAACATGAAGAAAAGTGTTTTACAATACTGGTTGAGCCATTTTTTGAACATTTCTACGGGGCGGCGCTACAGAGTGTCGGGGTGCAGTGTGGAATCAAAAATAAAGTGCCTGGAAATTATATCGGAAATCGTTATGTACTCGGGTTTTTGAGGTAGGCTTAACCCATGTCAACCGGATAAACTACCACCGGAAAGCAATCTCACAACTCGCAACGAAGAAAGACTTAACTTTTAGTAGTTTGGGTAGAGTACACGAACTTATAAATTAAGATGGACTGCTAATGCTGAATTAACAAATGACACCTACATGGGGGCCGCCATGATGTGCACTCATATGGCGCGAAATTCAAATCAACTAATAAACAAGCATTACCTCACGTTTTCTAAATAAATTACTGTGACACATGTCATTTTCCAAGGCTGCAATAGTCTCAAAACTTGCACTAGGAAAATTCCCCTAGAAAATAACTAAAATGTACACATCACGGCGGCGCCCATGCTAGGGCCATTTCTACCTCTAGGCAACTGTTTGATCAGCAGTCCATCTTAATTTATAAGTTCGTGGTAGAGTACTAATGGACACAGGCTACTAGTCGAAAATCTCCCTTTATTATTGAATCTTGTAATGTACCGATTTTATACATATACAATATCTCAATTAGACAAAAATTTATTATAGAAACAAAAAATTACAACATATCATTTTTGGGTAACTTATATAAACCGCCTGAAAAAACAAGTTTTTGCTCCCTAACTTTTCTATCTAAAAACTGGGTTAGCTCTTGTAAACTGCATTCAATCGTAGGCCCTTGGAACGCGAACATTTTTAACATTTGGTGTATCCTCTCCAAAGGCAAAGAATCCAAATTCATCAGCATGCCGATGATATACGACCAGAATGTCTGAAACAAACGAATTTTAATATTGCAGTCCTTTTGTTTTCGATAAGTAACTATCAACTAGACCTTGACATGTTTGAAAGGGTTTTCTACTATACTTGCATACCTGGAGCTCCTCCTCGCGTTGGTCTTGTGTGCTAGCCATCACGCTCTCAGATTCGTAGTCATCAAGCACGACATCTGCATTAAGATTTGGCACGTTGGTATCGTGCTCTTCCACCAGACAAAAACAGTCCTTCATAAATTCGTCAATTAATCCGTGCGATAACCAAAATCTAATTTTTTTCCTTAAGATAATAGGGGGAATATGCAGTGTGCGACTTAGCCTATCCAAACACCAGTCGTCTTGAATTTTAACTTTAGCTAAATCGGTATCATTCCTTTGACTACTCACCTTGATCTTGAAATCGCATCAAAATTGCGGCATGAACCGGCGTAACTGACAAGTTTAGAACGCGATCCTTCAATTCGATCTCCAAGTCGACAACGCCCAGGTGGTTTTTCCAGCTTAACGTCCGATTCCCCTTCAAAGCCTCGAAACTTTTGGTAAATGTCTCCATTTGGGACAACACTTTCGGATGCAATTCTAACTGTTCATCTTTGAAAGGGGGCCAGAACTGCGCCGATACGATCAATGCTGATATAGGAAAACTATTATCGGTATAGTTCGCGTCTTGTTTAATGTGATGGTTAATCCGTTTGGAGTCGCTGATGTCCTTCAGCATAACCTCGCAGTAATGCAATTGGGAGTCGCCAAATCGCAATTTTAAAAGTTCTAGGTAGCGTATTTCCTTTTCGGTGTCGCACGAAAACTGTGAGAGTAAGCGATCTGCTAGGAGGGTGCGGTATTCATTTATGAAGAGCTCTTTGCTGCCATAGACACTCACTAACATTGATATTATATCTGCGCTTCTGCGTATATTTGAAGTTTTACCTGCAAATTTCTATGGTATGGATGCTTTGAACCAAAGACACTTACTAGGATCGACGTCGACAGGATCGGGCATCCACGCCTCCCAATTTTCAGTGTCTTCGTCTGACGCTGCGGTTTCGTCGACGTGCACAGCGTCGCCTTTTACCAACTCTTCAGCTAGATCATTAGGACCTTCCTCTGTGAGACTGCTAACGACACACCTACGCACAGACTTGCAGAAGTGGCCTTCAAGTTCTACAATTACCTCACTGTGTCCTCACGACTGCGTAAGTACTCGTGCATCGGTTGCGTGACGACATCGAGTAGTAACCCTGACGGATCTAAGATCCTCATTGACCTGATAGACGCTACATATGCGGTTAGTATGTCGGGTGTGCTAACGCCAGGGTGAAGTAGTCGCGTTTCCATCGCCTTCTGCAACTTCTTTGTCAGTAGGGGACGCAGGTCCGTTTTTGGCAGACATTTACTTAAGTCTTCTAAAGCCGGTGAAGATTCGGGGTATTCTTCGATTGGAAAATAATGTTCACGTGAGTATACAAATGTTATGCGTTAGACGATGATTCTTTAACTTATCCTTATTGTTGTTTGTGTAATTGCACTGTTCACAATTAAAGACTTAAGACGACGATTTCTTAAATTATCGTTATTTTTGGTTGCTATACTGTACTGACCACATTTGAAATTCTCGAACATAACGTGATAAAATGTAACGTTTTAAACTATCCTTGCTCTTTAAGGTGTAATTACATGATTGCAAATGAAAGTATAGATACTTTTACAGCTATAAAAATTGCAATATTGAGTACTTTTGGTCACTGTTAATAACGGCGATCTTATTTATCCCACCAATAGTAATTACAATATTCTGCCACCAGATGTCTCACTGTTAATCTGAATCGCTAATAACCCTTTGGTTCTATTGGCTATTTCTTAATGATCTAATGGTAGTGAACTAATAATAAAGATTTAGCCAAGTTTATTGCGCTACCCAGTTTATTGTACGTCGCTAACCAACGAAACCAGACCT